AACCCATCCAGAGAGTGTTCACTTCCTTCCTTATAAATACAAAACAGAGATACAAGCACGTGAATACCTGGACATGATATAGGACTTTTCTTCCAAAGCATCCAAACTCTTACCCAAGGCAGTTCTATAATGATGTTATTATCATCCTTGAAGAATAGGAGAGTAGGATGTTATATTGGGCTTGTATTTCTCTGCATCTAAAAACTATAGTCTGAGGTAAGAAGCCCAGGGGAGAAGTCAACTACCCCCTACGCCAAGAAAAATATAAAAATATTTTTTTTAATATATTTTTTATTTATTTTTATTTAAAAAAAAAAAATTGCTGTTGAGTAGATTCCAACTCATGGCAAGACCATGTGTGTCAGAGTAGAACCATGCACCATTGCATTTCACTGGCTGCTCTTTTTTGGAAGTAGATCACCAGGCCTTTCTTCTGAGGTGCCTCTGGGTGAACTTGGACATTCAGCTTTTCCTTTAGTTGCCAAGAACTTAAACATTTGTGCCACCCAGAGACTCCAAGGAAAACTCCAAAGACTTGCTTAAAATCTCAGGCTTAAGCTATGCTGTAAAAATCTATAATTCTAACCCAGGTGAGAAATCAGTTGAAGATCAATATCCTTTATCTGGAAAGACTGAAGTACTTTGTTTCTGTTTTTTAATGCTGTTACTTTCCTTTGTTAGACAAGGTAATGACAACTGTTGACCAGAGAGGGGTGAAAAAAAGAACACTAGTTTAGCCATAGGCTGGGTGGTACCCATGGCCAGTGATGGAGTCCAGGACTCCCTTCTGCCATTTCCCTCCAATAGATTCTCGTTTATTCTCCATAGCCATAGACTTACATACTTCTTGCATTTCTTAGTATTACTATCTTATCTGTGTACTTAGGTTGTGACCATTTCTTCCTGTCCCACATTTTGGCTTTTACAAAGCCGTTTCAACCAGAAAACCAAACCCACTGCCACTGAGTTGATTCCAACTCAGCGACCCTTTTTGACAGAGAACTGCTCCATAGGATTTCCAAGGCTGCAAATATTTACAGAAGCAGACTGCCTTATCTTTATCCCACAGAGCAGCTGCTGCGTTTGAACCATTAACCTTTTGATTAGCAGCTGAATGTTTTAACTACTATACCACCAGAGCTCCTCAAAGCCCTTTAAGACACTCCCTAATTGAAGCTGCCCAGACCCTAAAAATGTCAGGCCATTTTTAAAAAATATTTTATTTTTGTTGTTGTTGAGAATATACATTACACAGCAGACCATTCACCAATTCAACAATTTCTACATGTACAATTTAGTAACACTGATTACATTCTTCCAGTTGTGCAACCATTCCTACCCTCCTTTGCTGACTTGTTCCTCCTTCAGTAACTCATTGTCTCCTAAGTATCTTACCAATCTTTGGAGTTGCTGGTGGTGTAGTGCCTAAGGCATTTGACTGCTAACCAGAAGGCTGGTGGTTCAAACCCACCAGCCACTCCTCAGAAGGAAGGTTGGGCAATCTACTTCTGTAGAGATACCGCCTCAGAAACCCAAGGAGGGGTTTGCTATGAGTCGGCTCCAACTCCATGGCAGTGTGTCGCATTGCATTGTGTTGTTGTTGTTGTTGTTATGTGCCATTGAGTCGAACCCAATTCATAGCAACCCCTCCTTGGGTTTCCGAGGCAGTATCACTATGGAAGTAGATTGCCCGACCTTCCTTCCGAGGAGTGGCTGGTGGGTTTGAACTGTCAGCCTTCTGGTTAGCAGTCAAGTGCCTTAGGCACTATGCTACCAGAGCTCCTACATTGTAGTCAATTTAGAAGAACACACTGCTCAAGTATCCCATTCTTTTAAAAAAAACAAATTTGTTGTATTTGCCTAAGAGTGGTAAAGTAGTACATCTCCAGATAGCTCTGGGTGCACCTCCACACTCGAGGTCGTGAGTGTGGCTTACAGCATCACTGTGGACAGAGCCCTGTGGGGAGAACAAGGGTACCAGACAACTTTCATTGGTACTGAGGAATTTCTAGGAGCTCAGATGGTGCATGTTAAAACATTTGGCTGCTAACCAGAAGCTCAACAGTTTGAACCCACCAGCTGCTCCATGGAAGAAAGATGAGACAGTCAGCTTCTGCAAAGCTTTATAGCCGTGGAAACCCTATGAGGCAGTTCTGCTCTGTCCCACAGGGTCACTATGAGTCAGAATCAACTTGACAGCAGGATTTTTTGGTGGGAGAAGTTCCCGTGGAAGGATATTTGCTTCACAGGAGTCCATGCGTGTGGGTCCCTGTCTTCCATATGACGGGCAGCATGATCAACCACTAAATACACCACCCCTGAGATGCCATTGTGATTGGGGTCTAATAAATATGGTATTTTCAATTTGTATTTACTAATCTACTTTATTTAGTGGGTTTCTGACTAATTTTTCTCTTTGGCATATGGACCATTTCATGGCAGAGAGGAAGCCAACAGCACAGGTATGACTGAGTGCTTTACAGCTCAGGGGTTTCACACTCACTGGTCTGCCTAAAAACACTTGGGATGTCTCTGTGGAGATGCAATTCCACCCTCATGTTTAAGAGTCCTTTCTATACTATTAGAATAGAGAGGTCATGATATTGACATTAATAATATTAAATTGTTGTTTCTTTCTTAGTGACTGCAGCCACTAACTTTCCACACTGCATGACTTATCTCAAAGAGGCTCAGTATTATGATAGACCATCCGTTTTAACCTAAAGGGGAAAAAGATGCATGGAATTCTGAAGTCAGAGCTTGCATTTGTGAAATTAAGTTCAGTGTTTCACATGGTGCTAAGGGTTATGTTTCAAAGGCAAATAGCAAGGCCAAGAACTTGTGGTTGGTCAAAATTTCCCTTGAAAATCCCCTTGATTACCACAATGTTCAAGATAAGTCCAACTTAACCGATTACTTTTTTCCTAATGATTGAACAGATGACCATTATTTTTCTGAGTACACAATAAAAGTAGTTGGTTTGCATTTAAAATTGGATGAATACACTGTTTTAGTGTAGGAATCCCCATCACTATGGTGTTAGGCTCACAGTGTCAGAAGCATGAGAGACTGAGATCCACAGTGAAGGGCAGCCTCCCTTTTATCTCAAGCACATGCTAGGACACCCGCTTAGGGGCTGGAATAGCAGATGAGGCACCCACACTGTTATAACTGTTGCCTTTTTCTCCTTTCATTGTTGTGTGTGCAGTAAATACATATCACATAAAATTTGCCATTGTAACCATTTTTAAGTGTACAATTTAGTAATAATTATATTTGCCATGTTGAGCAACCCTCACCATGGCCTATCTTCAAAATTTTTCATCACCCCAAACAGAAGCTCCTTACGCCATATAGCTCCCCAGTCCTCTCCAACCCCTTGTAACCACTAATATATTTTTTGTCTCTATCCATTTGCCTGTTCTAGATACTGTATGTAAATAGGATCATACAGTATTTGTCTTGTTCTGTCTGACTTAATTCACTCAGGATAACGTTTCAAGGTTCATCTATATCATAGCACATACCACGCTATCTTATCATTTTTCACTGCCAAGTATGTGTAACTGAATTCTCCCAAGGTGAGCATGCACAGTGCCCCTCTGCTGGACTCAGTTTACCACCATTAACTCCACATGACTTACCTCCAAGAAATCCATCATTATGGTGAAACCATCCATTTTAGACTTTTCAAAAAATGCATGGAATTGTGAAGTCAGAAGCTTCTAATGGTGAAATTCAGTAGATGAGATGAAGTGTCTCACATAGTAAATAATTGGAAGCAGTTTACATTCATGTCTTGAGGTCACTAAATAGTTTAGGGACATTTGTTCTCCAGCTTAATGCTGTGGAAGCCTTCAAATTGATATCTAGGATGTGAGATTTGAGCATCCTCTGTCTCCAAGTCCTACATTAATTTCTATCATATTTGCCATGACCTTAATAAGAGACATTAGTTTGTATTGCCTTTGGGCTATAAAACAAGTTTTAGTACACAAATGACAAACATCTTGATCATTCACACTAAAATCAACCAGCCACCTCCCCACAGAGGAGTGCAGTTTAGAAGTGAGCAGCTGCTGGTTTAGGACAGTGCTGGACTGCAGGGGCTGGCTCTTTTGTACACATCCAAAAGGAGTTTCTGAGTGGCACAAATACTTAACATACTCAGCTGCTAACTGAAAGGTTGGGGCAAGGGCTTCAAACCGGTTCGAAAAGACGCAGTTATGGCCAGCAGAAGTAAGGGCAGCACATGCATTGCATTGCCACCATATCTCATATGTGTCAGATTTTGACTCAGGAAACAAGGAACAGTGCCCACTCAAAGGTGGTGACTGACGATGCTGCTTTGAATGTGTGTCAATTGGCCACCATCTTTGAGTAGGGCACCCCTGCGTGTTTTCTACCCAGGTCAAAATCAAACATGGAAGAGATGTGGTTGCTAGGCAATGCATATGTTGCCTTTGTTTCCATCAGTCATGAATGAACTGCTTTAAACTGATTCAAAGCCCTGGGATGGAGGTTCAAATCTACTGAGAGGCCCTTCAGAAGAAAGGCATGGCAATGTAATTCTGAAAAATAAGCCATTAAAAACCCTATGGAGCACACTTCTATGCTGACACACATGTAGTCATCATGAGTTGGAAATGACTCCATGGCAACTGGTGGTTAAACTATGAAAGCAAGACTGAGAGGCACAAAAACATATGACACGCAAACAGAATTATTTCTGAGAGAGATAATTTCTGGCTTCCAGGAGGCCTTTTGGTCTATGCAGTGCCTTCTCAGTGAGATCACTATGTTAATAATACTGAACTCTGATAATCAACTCTTAATCTCAGCCAGGGGTTTGCAAGCTCATTATGGTCCAGGAACCAGGCTGTGGTGGACTTTGGCAGCCTCTTAGGTGGTACCTTTTATAACCCTCAGGTGATCATTCAGCTAGAAAAACCAGTCTGAAAGTCAATATAGCTTTAACAAATGATTCTCTTGTTTTACAGAGAGAGGATGCAAGCCATGGAGAAACAGATTGCCAGTTTAACTGGTCTTGTTCAGTCTGCGCTTTTTAAAGGGCCAATTACAAGTAATAGCAAAGATGCATCTAGGTAAAAAAAAAAAAAAAAGCAAACCAATGAAATCATAATTAAATCTGTTTCTCTTTAATCATTAAAAGAATTCATTCATTCAAATCAGTTTTCTTTTAATCATTTCAAGGCTGAAAATATTCACATCTCTATGAATCATGGGTTTGTTTGTTTTTTTCCAGTAATTCTTGGTCAAAGGTAACACTTCAGCCCAAGAAGGGTAAATGGGCTTCCCAGTGCATGTGGCTCTCATGGATGCTGCACTGCTAGTGCCTGCACCCACCATCCACATGTCTCCACACCCATCCTCTGACACTCATGATTGCTATCAGCTGCATCCCACCTGTGGAGTCAAGTGCACACCTGGGAAGCCTTTTCCATCCCAGCCATTAGTGGTGCTGATGTCAAAGTACCTTCATTGCTTTGTACCATCACTAGCTTCTGCTAATTGCTTGGACTAGTGGATATAAGGGACCACAAAAGGGCATTTTGGAAATTCTATAGCTGACTATCTTTTTCTTTTCTTTTATTCAGTGAGAAAATGATGAAAAGCACAGCCAATAAGAACCACATGGATAACGTAGGTAAGTGTTCTTTGAAACTCCAAGAGGCCTGCAGGCTGCCTTTTATTTGTTGTTGATAGTTGCCATTGTGTTGGCTATAACTCAGAGACTCCATGTGGAACAGATGGAAATGTTGCCCGGTCCTGAGCCATTTTTATGTTCATTGAAACATGTTTGACTCCATTGCTGTGGCTATCAAGTCAACACATCTTATAGCAAAGATTTCCTGCATTTTTGCTGACCCTCTACCATGCATGATGTCCTTTTCTAGTGACTTGTCTTTCCTGATGATATATCTGAAATGAGCAAGCTGTCCTAGCTTATTTCAGAAGGATTTGACTTTTTCTTAATTCACCTTTTTTATGTGACTTCAGAGACACTAGGAGAGCTCCCTGCTCAAGCTGAAATTCTAGATTAGTCATTAGTTGGGGGGGGTGGGGCTCAACCTTATATTCTCACTTCACACTCCATTCACTCAACCACTTACTCATTCATTTATCCATTTATGTGGCCATACATCCAACAAATATTTATGTGTCCAGCACTGGGCAAGGATAGTGAATACAGTGGCATTGTTCAGACTAGTGCTGTTTGCATAGGACTTAGAATCTTGTAGGAAGATAGATTGGGATGTCTTAGTTACTAGTGCTGCCATAACACACAAGTGGGTGGCTTTAAAGAACAGAAATGTATTTCTCACAGTTAAAGGAGTCTAGAAATCTGAGTTCAGGGCATGGCTGTAGGAGAAATTCCTTCTTTGTGTATATCAATTTTTAGTTGCTTCCAGCAATCCTTGGAGTTCCAGTCTTATAGATACATCTTCCTTTTGCGTCTGTCTTCAGATGGCATGTCCCTGTGTAGGGGGTGGGGTGAGGGTGAGTATGTCTGTGTCTGTTTTTGTTCTGCCCTTTTTATGACTCAGAAGTGATTAGATTTAGGATCCATATTATACTCTCTTTTGGTTACATAGTGCTACTCAGACAGGAATACACCACAAATGGGATTGGCTTGAACAAACAGGAGTTCATTCTCTTACAGTTTTGGAGGATGGAAGTCCAAGTTCAAAGTGCCAGGCTCTAGGAGCTGAGTGAAAGCCCCTCAATCTTGGGCTTCAGCTCTGCCTCCTGCTCCTGGCCCACGGAAGCTGAGGCTTTTCTTCACTCAGGCAGCTGCTGGCTGCTGAGGCTGATAAGCCCAAGGTTAACAAGTAAAAAGGCACAGTCCCAATTTTACCAAAACACATGGCAGGCCATTGATTCAAGTCCATTGAAAGTCCCAAGATTGGCAGAGTATGGCAGGCTGCTGAAAAATGACACAGCTACATGCAGGGTTCAAGGGTGCCAAAAAGCTGGAGACCATCCTCAGAGCTGCTTCTTAAATACTGGGAGTGCTTCTTACATACTGGAAGCAGCCCACATCCCTAAAGCAGGTACTTAGCTGCTCCAGTAGATTCCACCAGGGACAATAACTTCATCCAGCTGCCCAGCCACTCAACCAGGTTCAGCCAAGTTGACACACAACCTCTTTAACATAATAGAAGGAAAAAAACCTACCTCCAAAAAGGATCGCACCAATGGGTACAAGGGCTAGTAATTAAACACACATTTTAAGGGAGACACAATTCAATCCATGACAAGGAATTTTATGTGTGTTGAGTGTTAGGAAGTACAGAATGAAAGTTAACCAACAAGTCTAGTCTAAATCAAGGTCACTGCTTTGAATAAGTGTTACAAACTGAGACTTGATGGGTTAGCAGGACTTAGGTAAGTGAAGGGGAAAAGGAAAAGGAGCATGTGCAAAGGCTGCAGTCACGAATTTAGATATTTTTCTAAGTGCTGTGTGAAGCCCCAGGAAGGTTGTACTCCGGGGAAGGACTGTAGCCTAGTTGTATGTGGGAATGGATGAGAAGGGATGTGATGTGAGTGACCCAGGGATGTGAGGGCCCCCTTGTTAAATGCCAGCTTTTTGAGAAAGAGAACCCAATTACATTTCTGGTGGAGTTTACTAGTATCCTGGTATATTTGATGAATGTTGTATCCTGCAAGCTCATGGCAGCCCTTTCTCAAGAAGTCTTCCCACCCCTTGTGTTAGAAATAGAAATTGTTAGCAGGGACATGTTCAACTACAAAAAATTACACAGGAAACATATGGCAAGTTGGGTGAAACCCATAATTTGGGGAAGCCACATATACTAGTTTTGCACAGCCTGGTGAAAAGGACAGAATTTTAGATGTAAGTTTAGACTTTTGTTGGTCATAGTTCTCCGCTGGGTTAGCTGCCTCTTCCATCATTCCAGATGCTGACGTGATTCATTGTTCTACTCAGAAATCAGTCAGATTTATTTTTATCTTGTGGAAATTGCTAAACTTGTCTTCAGAGTAGTTGCCAGTTTATTTTGATGATATGTCTTCATGAATATATTTTCTTATGAATTTAACAGGGGCCTACTAAACACTAAAAACCTTCCCTCCCACTGGATTCCATTCTAGAAATAATTAGTATCTGATAACATCATTCTAATCTGTATATCTGTGCTGTTTTGTGTTCTACTTTTATGCCGTTCAAACCCACCAGCCACCCCTCGGAACGAAGGTTGGGCAATCTACTTCCACAGTGATACCACCTCAGAAATCCAAGGAGGGGTCGCTATGAGTCGGATCCGACTCAATGGCACATAACAACAATACTTGCCATAGGGGAGCTCTAGGAAATATTCCATGAGTGCTAACTATGTACCAGGCACTGGTTCCAAGTGTTTTCCATCTATTAACTCACTAACTCCCGATGTTAGCCTCAAGGGATAATTATAATTATTCCCATGTTCCAGATGAGAAAACTGAATCCACATCCATACCCATGACACATCAACACAGTCCACATGCCTATTCTTTTATTTCATTCTTCTGAGTAAAAGGAAACCCAGTCCCTATGAAAATATATGGGTTATATTCATTTCTTTGTTTTGAAAAATTTTGTAAATGCCTCTCTCAGAGCAGTGGAGATGGAGAAAGTCTACTTTTCTTGGAACATATTTCCCAAAGTGTAATCAATAAATCAAAAAGCATGAACAGTTTAATAATGCTCACACGACGCCACCAGGTATCTCTTCAGAAAGGTTGAGCCAGTTTGCGATGCCACCAGCAATGTGTACATGCACATGCTTCCCCAGTCTCTGCTGAGTCTGGTCTTTCTCACTATAGTGTATCAGTACTAGGTGCTTTCCACAGGGTTTAGTTGCCATAGCAGCCATGTACAGTACTCAAAACATCCTAATTCTTCCAGAATTTAGAAGAATGTTCAAAACAAGAAGTAATATTCCTGGTAAATGGAATCATATAGAAGTCAAGGAACTCATTTGGCATAGAGTGAGTGATAAAGGCAAACCCAGACTCCCTGCTTACTTTAGGAATGTTTAGTTGACTGTGGAGATAAGAGGGGAGGAATCTCCTATTTCAAATGCATGTCATGTGTTTTATGCTGTACATTATGTCATTGAATGCACATAACCCTTTAAGGAAGATGTTATTATCCATACTTTATATGGAAGGAAACTGAAGTGTAGAGAGGTTAAGTTACTTATCTAAAGCCACACAGCTAGTAAGAGTCACAGCCAGCCTTGCCAATCCCCCAATCCATGTTTTGTCCACTCACAACACAATGCTCTGTTAAGTCTGTCTTTCAGTCAAATCTGCATGGAAGTTGGAACAGTTATGTGTGGCTCGTATCTAACGTCAATAAGTCAAATATTTGTTATAGTATATTGTGTACTTTTTGAGGCATAAGAAAATTAGATACACTAAAACATCTTTTTAACGTAGTAATGTTTAGATGCATGTCACAACATAGGGCCCATTTGTTATTAGAAACCATTCTATGTACCTCAGATTTTTACAATAAGCTTTACAGGGGCTGGTTTGTAACTACTGGTTGTGTATAGGTTGGATGTTGTAACCTGGGGACTGCCTGTATTAAATTCATGTCAGATTGGCATTTAGCAAGATTCATATGAAGATATAATTGGCTTTGTTATATTACTTAGGAGCATATTTGGTAGGAGAAAGAAGAAACAGTTCCCTGGTGGAGCATCAGTTACACACTCAGCTGCTAACCAAAACGTTGGGTAATTTGAACCCACCCAGAAACTATGCAGGAGAGAGACCTGGTGATCTCCTCCAGAACAGATTACAGCCTAGAAAACCTTGTGGGGCAGTCCAACCCCCATACAGGGTCAGTGTGAGAACTGATTAGACAGCAAACAACAACAGGGAGGAATTAGCCCTTCCCTGTGATTGGGAGGCACAGTGTATCCTCATCCATTCAGCCTTTTTGGACCTATAAGTTGTACTTGGAATTCTTTAGAGTCATTTATAAAATGAGCTTGGTGAAATCAGAGTCCTCCTACATGGAATTATGAAATACATGACTCTTTATTTTGGACTTTGGAAGATGTTCTTTCTGCTGCCTTTTGTGATTCTTGTCATGCAGAATTTTAGCATCATGATTTATTTTCTTAGTAAAGGAGGTCCTACTTCTTCTGGCTGTGGAAATCTGAAGGGATTCAGGAGAATACTTGGTTCTTACTAGTTTGCTCAGAGTGATTGACCAAATCCTGCCCAGAACTAAGGTACATGTTTCTAAGATGAACCTATCTTGTAAGAAATAGTCATATAAGCACTGTGTTAGGTCCTAGAACTTTAAAAAAAAAAAAATTCCTATTATAAAATAAGGAGCTCTGGTGGCATAGTGCCTAAGGCACTTGACTGCTAACCAGAAGGCTGGCAGTTCAAACCCACCAGCCACTCCTCGGAAAGAAGATCGGGCAATCTACTTCTGTAGTGATACTGCCTCGGAAACCCAAGGAGGGGTTGCTATGAGTCAGGTCTGACTCAAAGGCACATAATAACAATGACAATGCAGAAGTCTAAAACTCACAGGGCATACTACCAGCCAGGTACTATTAACGCTTTGCTATCTGTGTTTCTAAGGTTTTGTCTGTGCAAACCTGTATGTCCACACAAGATATATCTGTAGATGAAGACAGGTCCTTATCACAGGTCCTTATCATGCTGTACAACACTCTTCTGTGACCTAACCTCCTATGGCATCCAACTTCTAGAATGTAATTTTTAGAGACTGCATAGAGTAGAACATTGCATGAATGTTGTGTCATTTTAATTAACCCCAAGTTTTTAATTTTGCCATTTAAATTGCCATTTAAAAAATCTGCCATTTGGAAAACCAGCATAATTTTTTTTTTTTTAATTTCAAAATCTCTTTATACCACAGGAAATTTTTTTAGAATTACTAGTGTTCTGTATTGGGATGAGATGTAGAGCTTACAATTTCCTTTGTGACATTGGTATGTTCTTCTCATAGGAACGCTCCATGTTTCTGGTGGGAAGATGCTCACCACCCTTGAGTCTACAGTGCCACCCAGCCACCCCCTGCCTGCAGGTTCCTCAGCTGTGCACATGAGCCTGCTCGACATGAGGCGAAGCGTGGCTGAACTCAGGATTCAGCTCCAGCAGATGCGACAGCTCCAGGTCAGATGGTTCTCCTCTTCCCATCCTTGTTAGTCTCACTGTAGCCCTTGGGCTTTCTACCATCCTTTCCTAGGAGCTGATGATGATGACCCAGATAGTTGAACCACAACAGCCCAGTTTCCT